ACATCTGATAATTTTTTTGGTAATGATGGATTTGGTGATTTTAAATTCAATCGAGAAATTATTAGTAATATTGATAGATCCAAGCATGCATCAGTCGCATTAATTGATTTAGCTAATCAATATCCTGGTGAATTAAGTATACTTATRCTTGGRCCAGCAACAAATGTCGCTCTTGCAATATCATTGGATCCAACATTTGTCTATAAAGTCAAGCGATTTTATGTCATTGGTGGTAGTGTTAATGGTATCGGGAATAGAAGTCCAGGTGTTGAATTTAATTTTGGAGCGGATCCAGAAAGTAATTTTATACTTTTTAATTCAACTATAAGAGAAGTTAGTTTATTACTACCCTGGGAGACAATTTTATCAACTAATATATCATCGGTAAGATATGCAAAGTAAAAATTACTTTAAATAATTGATCGGTAATTTTTTGTATTGTTCTATAGTCATGGAGAAAAAATGTACTCGGTCGTGTTAATTCAAAATTTATAAGATTTTTAAATTCAGCAGAATCAAAAATTAAWGAATTTCCAAATTGGGAACCTAGTGATTCTTTAATTGCAGCTGCAATGTTGTATCCAAAACTGATTAAAAAGTCTATAGTTACAAATATGACACCAGTTATGGATGGTGAGGCACGCGGTGGAACACTTATTGATTATTCGGGACAAACTCATAAACCAAATAATGTTGAAATTATTCAAGAAATTGATGTTGAAGAGTTTAAAAAAATACTTCTGCAATATTTATCATAAATACAAAATTAAAAAATTACTTTATTAGTAGTTTATGATAAACTTGCAGAATTATCAAATATGGATAATGAATCATCTGAAATACCATATTATTAATTATTATTTATTATAATATTATTATTAATATCAATAATTTTGAATATTTATAATTAAAATTAAAAATTAAAATGTTTACGTCTTATAATAAGATCATTATATATCATTATATCATTATATAAGTCTTATAGAGCTCTAACTCTTCCGATATTTTTTAGATTTTAAAATTTGGTAAAATGTTATTTTATCGTTAAGTTTTATCTATATGGAATAATATCATTAATATACCTATGATAAACTGTGATGATGAAAAAATATTGCCACACTAAACCGAGAAAGTCTTTTTTATTCTAGATTAGTGTTCCTAAAACTTTAAAAATATAGATGTTTTTAGATTCTGAATAAATGCATTGATTTTACAATGATGATGTGCGTTTTTAATTTTTGTGAGTACACGAAGAGTAGATTTTCAACTTCAATTTATTTTCTGGTTGGGAATGGAATCTGGTTGGCACGTTGTAGAAATTAAAATTAAAAATTCTTAGTAATTTTCAAAAACGTAGTGAATACAATGGAAGTTTTACGCAAAATCRGTTTTYGACAAAATYGAATTTGTTTTTTGGYGTGATTATAAAATTGTTAGTCTATATTCTCTATAAAAAATGTTTTCTTCTATCACAATACTTAACCATTTAAAACAAGGATCTTCATAAGTTGTTATTAATTTACTTATTAAAAAAAAAAAAAAATTAAGCCTAAATTTATATTTAATATTTATTTATGTATGTCTTTGAAGTTAACATTTTTTCGACATTGGATATTCAACCGTAAACTAACGATTTTCTTATTTATTTGTTAATTTGTTATTATTAATAATATAATTATATATATTTGTTGATTTAAAAACGGAAAACCTAAGGTACTTAAATTTTTTACCAGTARTTTAAATTATCATTTTCTATATACTTACRACAGAATTTTCCGAATTTTTCAAAATAATATGATAAATTTGGAGCTATTTATAGGTATAAGAACATTTCACAAAAAAAATTTATTTAGTATATCAATATACTATATAGGTAATCGTTATATAAGCGTGGTAAAATGGGCGAATGTAAGTTCCCACACGAGATATAGCAGGTAAAAATTACCCCTGGATTACGTATGGATAATACGTAAGTTCCCACACGAAAAAAAAATTATAGCAAACACCAAGGCTGGGCAAAGAAAAGTAACTTAACGTTATTTAATTAACGTAATTTAAAGTTAAAATTTTCTTATAATCAAAATAAAAAATTTCAGACACATAATAATGTTGATAAAAATTGCTTATAATTTTAACTTTTAATTCGTTAATGTTCAGCCTTGCCAAACACAAACTTCCTTCCCACTTTATTCAGACTTAGGACTAACAAATAACTTATATAACTTTTATAACTTAAAAATTATACACAGTATGACACTATGACTATATATATGGATATCACATATGTGAAGTGTTTGAGCTTTCGTAATAAACCAAATAAAATTTGATTTTTTTTTCTATTATTATTATTATTGTTTACCTAAAAAAATTGAATTGGATTTTTTTTATCCAATACAAAAACAACACAAATTTTAAGTTGTCATTCCTAAGTCTTAATAACTTAACTTTTTCCGTGTGGGAACTTACGTACAAGTGTATTTTTTTGCGTGTGGGAACTTACTATGCACTCGCTTACCTGCTATGTTTCGTGTGGGAACTTACCAAACCCCGGTAAAATGGTATTCTACCTAAAAGTCCGGTTTATTTATTATACATATGTCGTACAAAAAACATTAATGTTATTAAAAATAATAGCAATAATTTATAATACAATTACCTATTACAATCAATGTTATAGCCGTTATAGGTAGGTASAATAAAAATAAAAATATGACATTATAATTTTTTTGGTTAGGAATTCATAACTTCGAGCTAATTAGTGTTGAAGAGTTTTTAACTCAAGTGGTACATAATATTAGGACACCGCCAAGGTGATTAATGTTTTCTTGTATGACATGAAATTTTATTGTTGTATATTTTATTTTTGT